GTCAGTCAAAAGCCAAAGAGTCACCCTTTTTAATTCTTTTTTCTTTTAAACAACAAATAATACATCGAATTTTGTAAGGGCTTCGACATATTATTTGTCAGCTAGAAGCCAAAAAGTAACACATTTTTAATTCTTTTTTTCTTCTTTCTTTTAAACCACATATAACACATAATATTTGTCAGCCAAAAGTTTCCCCTTTTTAATTTGAGATTGAAAATCCATTCACTTTATCTTAGCGCGCGAGACCCTCTTCTCTTCTCAAACTCTTATCGAACTAAGTTTGACGACCATCACATGTAATATTTCTTTCATTTCATACAAATGCATGTTAATTAACTACTTTATGTATAATTTTCGTTTGTTTGGACCGATTATTTTCGTGTTCTTGTCCTTAATATGCGCATTCTGCTTTCTCTCTCACTGGTGGAAACACTTTTTTCCGACGAACCCACCTTTTGAAGGTTAGTTTTCGTTTTCATTTTCGTTTTCGTTTTGAAGAACTTATTTGTTGAACTTGTTTATTGTTGTTTTTTGTTGAACTTGTTTGTTGTTGTTATTTGATTGAACTTGTTTGTTGTTGTTGTTGTTTGATTGAACCTGTTTGTTGTTTTTTATTGTTGTTTGTTGTTGATACTATACTACACGTTCATAGTTAATGCTTTATAAAATACCAAAAATTGAAATTTGTTGTTTATCTACTTTTCAGGTCTTGTAGAGTTGTAGAAAAGGATTACAATTAATTAAAAGAGACAAAAAAATTGCTTAACGTCAAATTTAAAAATTCGACGCGTCTCCTGATATGACGTCGACTTCGAATTCGACGTGAAAGACCAAAAAACAACGATATTATATGATATTTTTGTACTAGTGGATGTACCATGTGTAGGGAACTGAGTCACAACAGAAAACGCTTCCCCAAGAGAAACGAAGTGCAGCAACAGGGAGAAGAACCCAGTTCGTTGCCAAAGGGTCAACCACATGGAGAAGAACCACTTCATAGTTGAAGAATGTTTTATGTTTTATGAAAGGAAATGTAATAGATCAAAGTTTCATGTAATACATTAGAGACATGTTTTATAAACAATGTTTAATGTCTAAGTATCCTATATATTGGTATTTGTATGAGCAATGGATGACTAATTTTTGGTATTAATATACAATATCTTAGGACATGTTGTATAATCCCATCTTCATCCTATTCTTGTCAGAAGTTATCTGGTATTTATATAGAGTTTTCAATTCTTACTAGATAATTTTGTTCAACTCTTCAGTTTGACATTCGTAGTTTCTTGATTGAAACTAGATTGAAACTTTATTATTTATCTTGATTATTCCCTTAGTCCATGCATTGTGTATGTTTGTAGTTCTGTGTTGTCAAGTGTTCAACAAATGCTTATTCAGCACTGTTTTACAGGTTCTGTACAGGTTCTATGCAGATTGTACACAAATTTTATGCACATTTTAGGGCAACTATTGACATAAAATTGATACCAATACAAACACACCAATTGTACTCATTGTTTGCAAATCTTCATTTCATTAAACATCTAAAAGTGATACATCTTCATTACGAAAAATAAAAATACATTGCAACGCAACTAACACATGAAATAAAACTACATTAAACTGACCTACATTACACCTACACATAGACATCAAACAAACTTACATTAAACTGTTTTATCAAGCCCTTCCACTAGTAAAAAACGTAGATTATGTCGCCCCATATACGCTTCGGTTTTTCGAAAACCGAAGCATACAACCATATATACCTTAGTCACAACTTAACCCGTGGCGGAACTGGGATATTGCCTCAGTTAACGTGAGACCCAAGGCCTATACTGATGCCTAAACACCTCTACAAGTTAGTCTGACAAGTCTATCAAGTCTGCAAGTCAGCCTGACAACTCCCTATTGCCTCGGTTTGCTGGGCAATCGGTGCCTAAACCACTCCCTATTGCCTCGGTCTGCTGGGAAATCGATGACTAAACCACTGCTACACCTGCTCCACCTGCTACTTGCCTGCTACGCCAGACCTAAGGCATCGGTTCAGCAGGGAACCGAGGTCGTTGGCCACACTTTATATATCGTTGTTGGTTTGAACCGGTGCTATATGGTGCTATTACCTCGCGTGTTTGAGTAACCTAGGTAGTAGCTCCACTTCATATTTTCAAAACCCGTAGAACTTCCATTTGCATCGCACAACTTCTTCTTCCTTTGCGTAAACCTTCTTCTTCCTCTGTGTAACTTTGTCTTCCTCTGCGGGTTCGTCCACCAGTGCCACTCCTTGGCTCGTTGCGCCACCCTTGTGCTGCCAGTGGTCTCGCCTGCCTCCGTCTTGCTAGTGGTCGTGCATTCCACTGCTCGTCGTCGTTCTTGGCCGCGCCTCCTCCCTTTGCTGTCGCGCCATTGGTGCCCTGTCAGTGCTACCTCCGCCACTGCTGTTGTGGTCTCGCCTGCCGGTGGATGATGTAAGTTTATGAGAACTTTTTTATATAATTATTTTTTATCAAGTTACTTATATCAGATTATTTCTTCATTTTAGGTATATGTTTGATGTTAGTAACAATAAGGGGTTCAACGATGTATATGGGTTCATTGACCCCTCTATGACTCATGAAAGAAATAAATTTGATGATATCGAAACATATATCACCACCTGCTTTGGAATGGGGAAGGAGATATATTTTCTCCCTTATATACATGGGTAAGTGAAGTTTGTTAACTTTAAAGTTTCATTTTTTAATTTTGGTATATGACAATGAAGTTATTACCAATTTCAGGTGTCATTGGCAGCTACCTGTGATCTCCATCCCGGAGAACACTGTTGTCTGGTTTTGTTCATTGCACAAGTCTCCTCCCAGCCCTCTTAGACATGTAGTAGATTGGTAAGAACCTAAATGTTTCAACTTTCTTTGTTATATAAATGTATGCTAAAGCAATTTTTTTAATAGTTTCCTTGCAACACATATGATGTTATCTGGGAGATCTACTGCTACAACTAAAAAGCTTGCATGGGTTGCCCTTAAGGTTTGGTATTTTAGTCCATATTTTGTTACATTTGGTTCCATTCAAATGATGTTACTTAACATTTTATAATTATGATGATATATTGTAGTGTAATAGACAAACAGGGTCATATGAATGTGGTTACTACGTCATGTTTTGGATGATGACCATTATTCGTGCACATTACACTAGTGGATGGGAAACGATAATATTTAGGTTTGAGTTTTATTTTTTCTATAGTTTAGATGTCATATTAACTAATTGAAAGCATTGTGTTTTATGCAGAGATTCAATAGGATTGCTCCAATTCCAGAGAAGTCACTTCAACTCGTGAGGAAAGCACTGGCTAAATATGTAATTCAATTATATAATAGTATGTAGTAGATATTAGGATATATTAAGTTCTAAGTTTATGTTTCTAAGTTGTTTTATGCTTTTCTTCATTATTATTAGTTTAACTTTGTACATTGCATTGATTTATGCTTCAAATTTGATTTATGATTACATTGGTTTGATTTATTCTTTTAAGAAGTTTATTTATGATTTCATTGAATGTATTTATGTTTTAATATAATTTTCATTCAAAATATACGTTTCTGGATTATTCTGGACTGTTCTGACTATAAATATATATGCAGGTCTATTTCTGTAGTTGGAAATGTAGCAGAAACAGACCTCATTTAAAAAAAAAACAGGGGAATATGCCTCAATTGAGGTCATAACCGAGGCAGAAGAGCACCCTATGGCCTCAGTTAAGGTCACACCCGATGTAGAAAGACTTGTGGATGAAAAAAAAAACAAAAATAGAGGAAGAAATATGCCTCGGTTGAGGTCCCAACCGAGGCAATAGAGGGAGACATACTGCCTCGGTTCAGAAGGAACTGACTTTTTGCCTCGCCTGGATATGCCTCGGTTCGGGAACCGCTGCCTATGGCAAAAAATAACTGCTGTCGTTTCCTTTGACTGCACTAGTGTTCCCATAAACATTGCAACTATAATGATGTTCATTAAACATAGAATAGTAACAACCCCAACCAAAATTTTCATCCACCTTTCAAGACCCATCAAAACTTTATGCACACCAACTATCTTCTTATCATTTTCATTTTCAAAACTCTTCAGCAACCTCTCATCATTTGCTTCCAACACCTCACAGCTAGCACTTTCGTAAATTGCCCAATCAGTGCACCATATGAAGTAGTTGCATCCATCATTTTCACTTCCAACCTTATACCTAGGGTAACCCTAGAATTGTTTGCCTCGATTCTTACTGATTTTCGCAGTCCTCAACACAAACTTCTCTCCGTAATGGCAAATTAGCGAAGCATCCTTCTTGTTCCACCCTTCATCTCCACGAGAGCTCACAGATCGAAATTTCTTTCGACACTCATTGCAAGTCGAAGATGAACACAAATGACCCATAGACATTGTTGCATCTTCTGCTTTCACACTTTCCTCTTTCGAAACTTCAAGTGCTTTCCAATCTTCAAGAACAATGAACCCTAATTAACCAAATATCGTCTCCACTGAAGACTTCGCGCAAGGTTGCGACGCACTCTCCTCTTAGATTTTTAATCCCAAATTGAATCCCATATTTAATTTCATTGAACCCAAATTTCATTTCTGAAATCCCTATTGTAAAATTCTAACTTGTCAAATTCCTTGTATAAAGGTCTCAACACGTCACGTTTAAAAAACTTGACACATCATCTTTCACCTCATAAAAAATTAATCCTGTTAAGTCAATTTAATGATAGGGGTCCAGTTAACTCAAATTAATAATAAATACAGGAGTTTAACCTTTGATATATCTTATAAAGATAAAATGTTTCAGTATGAATTTTTTGTATATTTAGAAAAAAAAGAGAAAGAATAGTGTAGAACAAAATGTAAAAGATTTATGTGGATTAAAATATGAATACTGCATCACCGAAAGCGAGCTGAAGACAATAAAACAGATAAATCGTAAAGATTCCTTTCCTATCAAGATAATCATTAGAAACAGTCTTCTTTTACATACCACACAACCGACAGCTTCAGGAGTGCAATTGCTATGTCAATGGAAGCTCAACCAGAGCACCAACTCAATGTCATTTTTTTTCCATTTCCAGCACCTGGGCATATGATTCCCATGGTAGACACAGCAAGGCTATTTGCCAAGCATGGTGTTAGTGTCACCATCATCACTACCCTTGCTAATGCTTTCACTTTCCAAAAAGCTATAGAGACTGACTTCAACTCTGGATACCACATCACAACTCGACTGCTTCCATTCCCCGCAGCACAGCTTGGTCTTCCTCAAGGTCTTGAAAACGCCAAAGATGCCCCTACTCTAGAAATCATTGGTAAAATGAGGCTTGGAATATTAATGATCAAAGATCAAGTCGAGCTTCTGTTTCAAGAACTACAGCCAGATTGTCTTGTGACTGATATGTTGCATCCCTGGACAGTAGAGTCTGCTGCGAAACTAGGCATTCCAAGGCTTTACTATTACAGCTCGAGCTACTTCTCCATCTGTGCCAAACGTTCTATCCTCAAGTACAAGCCGCATCAGAAGTTGGTTTCTGATACTCACAGGTTTACCATTCCTGAGTTGCCTCACAAAATAGAGATGACCCCACTGCAGCTACCACATTGGTTAAGAACGGAGTCTTCTGCCACTGAATTTTTCGAAGCAGTTTTTGAGTCAGAGGGCAGAAGTTATGGATCACTGTGCAACAATTTTCATGAACTTGAGGGTGATTATGAGCAACTTTATAAGAGCACTGTGGGGAAATCCTGGAGTGTAGGACCAGTATCAGCCTGGGTTAACAAGGATGATGAAAGAAAGACCAATCGAGGACACTCGGAGGACCTTGCACGGGAGCCGGAATGGCTCAATTGGCTTAACTCCAAGCAAAATGAGTCTGTGCTTTATGTAAGTTTTGGGAGCCTCACCAGGTTCTCTCATTCTCAACTTGTTGAACTGGCTCATGGTCTTGAACAATCTGGCCATAGTTTCATCTGGGTCATAAGGAAAAATGAAGAAACTGAGAAGGGAGACAGTTTTGTTCAAGAGTTTGAGGAGAAGATGAAAGAAAGGAAGAAAGGATATATCATTTGGAACTGGGCACCACAGCTGCTGATATTGGACCACCCTGCCACAGGTGGCTTTTTGACTCACTGTGGTTGGAATTCCATTCTTGAAAGTGTGAGTGCTGGATTGCCAATGATTACATGGCCAATCTATGCTGAGCAATTTTTCAATGAGAAGTTGGTAGCTGAAGTGTTGAAAATTGGAGTCCCAGTGGGAGCTAAGGAAAACAAATGGGTTGGCGTGGAGGATTGTGCAGATGTGGGAAGGGAAGAAATTGCAAAGGCTGTGGTACATTTGATGGGAAAAGAAGAGAGCATAGAAATGAGGAGTAGAACAAGAAAACTAAGTGATGCTGCCAAGAAGAGTATAGAAGAGGGTGGATCCTCTTACAGCAACTTGATGCAGTTGCTTGATGAACTCAAATCTTTGAAGATAACCAGAGCACTTGACAGACAATCCAAACAGTGGCTTCAGATAAAACTATGAGTTCAGTAAAACTATTCATTCCAGAATGTTTTCCTTTCCGTTTGCTGTTGCCTGAAAGTACAATGTCTCTGAGGAGCAGTTAGTGAGGTTCATTTTCAATGTGTGTTGAATAGTAAGAGTTGAATATTATGTTATGAGGAGTGTTTAGTAATTCTATAATGTTAGTGTTAGATTTAAACTTTAAATTTACAAATTAATTATACCTTAAAAAAAATACTATTATTATATTGTTTTTACATTGCATTTGAGAAAAAAGCATGCTTCAATATCAGGAACAAAAATAGCACTAGGAGATGAATATTGAGGGTCTTTCTAGCAGTATGAGCCAGATGAACAAACAGTTCGATGATTAATGCAGAGGACACATTCCATAATCAAATAAGAATGTATAAAATCAAGGCATTCATTCATGAGATGCTTTGTGAAGGAATCAAAAGGTAAAGTGTCTTATCTTCTTATTATCATCATCCTCAAAGACTAACAGAAGGAGGATTTATGGAAAATATTCATCTCTTAGACAGATAATGTTTTCCTTATTTAGTGGTGTGAATACCTTCAGTTTGAAAACAACCTTATTAAGTATTTATATTACAAATTAATAAAAATGATAGATGAATTCATATTAAACTAAAGGTTTTATTAAAATATAATTTCATTTTATGTTAATTAATTTTGAATAAATGAATTAGATAATAAAATTTTAGTGATGAAAGACATTTTGTATGTGATTATAGTAATTATATTTGTAAGGAAGGAACTATGATTTTGTAAAGTTTATTATTAAATATTAACAAAAAGAATTGATCATATGAAAACTAAAAATTTAAACATATTTCTTTTACTGAATTTTTGCTATAGTAACAACATTTGGTCGGGTTAAATATGAATGGATTTTAAAAATTGAATCAAAACCTAGTCGTTCTTATCGGTTTGAAATTTAGATGATTTAGTTCATTTTGTTTTTTTTTGTTAAAAAAAACTTTTAACTTCGAGATTACACAAATCAAATTAACACTGAATTTAATTGGATTATATACAATAAAATTGGTTCAAATACAAATTATCTTGTGATGAACTTAAAAAAGTCTAAAAATAGTGATGATTTTAAAAGAGAACTCTATAATATTAATAAGATATTTAAACTATAAATGAATTTAAACTCTAGTGAGACTATAAGTGAACTTACATTCCCAAGATGGGATCAAAACTTGTGATGTTGGACAATTTGTGATTAATCTTTTATGATCTCATGGCAGGTGCACGATTTCTAGTGTCCAACTCAATGTATAAATTCAGAATCGAGTATAAAATGTTGGTGTTTATATTTCTTTGGTTTAAATAAGCTTTTGGTATTAATTTTTGTAAGAGAATATCAAATTGGTCCCCTAATGTTTTCTCTCAATTAGGTCCCAAATTTTGAAAATTTGATGTAATTTGATTATTTTTGTTAGTATTGTACCAACAACGTCAAGTATATTTCACGTGTCAATTTGTGACTTTTTTGTTTTTTTTTTAAATTCAAATTGTTTTAAAGAAGTTGACAATTTGTCAAGTTTTTGTGATGCCATGTGGCAATGATAGTGTGATATGACAATGATAATGTCATATGTAAGTATGAGTGCTAAATGTTATTGTCTTATATTCAATTGAGTCACTATATTTTTTATTTTAATTCAATTTAATCCCAAATGTGTTTTAAAAAATGGAGCAAATTTGTCACTTGTCAAATTGTGATCAAATTTAATTTTCATACAAATGTTATACTGATATTTTTATTAAATTTTATACTTTTATTAAATATTTCTAAAATTTGTTTTAAATCAACTTTAACATTTGTATAGAAATTAGTTAATTTATAGTGATAATTTTATTTTACAAATTTATATACAATTATTTGAAATATAAATTCAAATAAAATATTAAAGTATGGTATAAAAAAATATCAATGCAAATAAATTTAAAATTTTAAACTGAAATTTAAACAAAGTTCAATGTGAAAATTTAAATAATAAGTAAAATGTGAACACTTTTATTAGTATTTTTATATAAATAAGTAGGGCAACAAAATGAAACCACGACAAATTATAGGTAACAAAAATTAAAAATCTAATAATTATATTCTAATGATATAATTAGTGTTAGATTAAAAATAATTTTATAATTATTTAATAAAAATATCACTATAATATTTAAATTTGGTTTGAGTTTCGAAAAGAATTTATTTTAAAAAAATTGAGACTAAATTGAGTCAAAATAAAATAAAAAATATATGAATTAAATTAAATATAAGACAATAACACGTGATATTGTCACTACCATGTGACTACCCACTACCATGTGGTAGTCCCACTGTCCCATGGCATCACTACTGCCATGTGGTGCTGCTATTGTCACATGACACAAGATTAACTTGACATGTCTACATTTGTTTCATTAAAAAAATAAAATCAATAGGCTTAAATACAACTTTGGTCCCTATTTTCATCTACTTTATTCAATTTGGTCATATTTTTTTCGTGTGTTCAATAAGGTATTATTTTTTGTCAATTTGGTCCTTTCTGGTAACAACATTTAAATTGTTAATGGGTGATAAACAATATATGTCCCGTTTCGGTTCGTGCTTTTTTAAATTTTTCTTAATTTTAGAAAAGTTGTATATGTGTTAAGTCAGGATTGTGGAACGTAACAGTGTCAAATCAATTTAGTAATAATTTTCGTTAATTTTATTCAATTTAGTCCAAATTTTCTTTAATTTTCTTTAATTCAATCTCAATTTTTTCACTCATTAAATTAAAACCAAATTTAATTTTTATAAAAATTTATACATAAATTTTTATTAAAATTCATATTTTTAAAATATTTCATTCAATATTTTTAAACCAACTCTAACTATATTATTGGAATATAATTATCAAATTTATGTTTTATTTTTGATACATGTAAAAAAAAAAGGATTAGAGTTGGTTTCAAATAATTAATATTTTTCCTTCTAATTTTAAAAATAATGTAGAATTTTCCTTCTAATTTAAAAAATAATAAATAATTTTCCTATTAAAATTTAAAATAAACGAAAATTCAGATTGAATTAAACAAAATTAAGGAAAATTTGATTTCAATTAAGAAAAATTAACGAAAATTGAAAGTGAATTGAAATAAGACACTCTCACATTACATTAATATTAACACGTGACATTAATTGTAAGGGCCTGAAAATATAAAGTAGCCATTGGGCCTTATGTGAGGCAGCCAAGCCCATCAGACCAAGGACAACTTGGCCTTAGGATAGACTTCTAAGAAACATTTGCTAGAGTTCTTTCTCTCTCTAAACAGAAACCCCCCTTTTCCTAAATATTTGCTCTGCCTTCTCTCTAAAAGATCCAAACACTGAACCGTTTAAATTTTAATTTGAAGGTGCCTAAACGATTGCGGTGGCAAGAGCTTCATTTTGAACCGAACAATTTCTTGTTCTGACCGGTAAGTTCTCTTTTTCCCTTCTCTTTCACTGTTCTAGAACCTAGGGCATGCAACTTTGCTGGGTTCACGTGCCTTGTACATTTTTCCTTCCATTCTCTGTCTATTCGAGCTCTAAGAGCTATGTTCTATCACCAATTTGGTGATCTGTAGGTTCTATCAAGTTCCGCTCTGTGTGGAGGGTACTGTTAGGGCATCTACTGTGAATAGTATTGAGCAGCCTGAAAGAAGAAGGTAAGGGGAGCTAATTATTTGTTTTATGAATTTATTTTATACAAATATATGCATATAAATGTTGAACTGGTGTGCTCTTGTGAAACTGTTTTATGACTTTTATTGTATTGTGTGTTATAATTGAAACTGTGAAATTGTGCATGTTGTGATGTGATGAATTTAATCTGTTTTGAATGAGTTTGTTGGCTGAAATTGATCTTGTTGGAAGGTCTGGAGTAAGGGTTCTGTAATAGCATGTATATGGGTATTAAATAGATGTATAGGTACTATTTGAGGTTTTTGTGACAGGAAGTGAAAATATTAAAATTAGGCATGTTTGAGGTTACTGTGAGAGGAAGTGAAAATATTAAAATTAGCCATGTTTGAGGTTGCTGTGAGAGGAAGTGAAAACATTAAAATTAGGCATGTTTAAGGTTGCTGTGAGAGGAAGTGAAAATATTAAAATTAGGCATTGTGAAAGGAAGTGAAAATATAATATTAGGCATGTTTGAGGTTGCTGTGAGAGGAAGTGAAAATATTAAAATTAGGCATTTCAGATTTAGAGCATAAGAGAACATGGTAGATAATTTAAATAAATTATTTGTTAATTATTGAGAGCCTTTCTTTGTTGGTAGGATAGAGGAACCTTAAAAACCTGAGTTGGCACATCCCTGATCATAGAGCAGCCCTGGCCTCGTCCAGTCAGTTGTGACTAGTCATATGTGCTGGCGTCGAAGGTGAGTTTGATGCGTTCAGACATCTGGGCTCCGGTGACCAATTTGGGTGAAGAAAGATCTCTACTAGGATGAAAATAAAATAAAAACAAGTTAATTATAGATGCATAAAGTTATCATGTGTTAATTTCTAGTTAATTATAATTTTAGAAAATCAGTCACTGTGTGTTTGAAATTCAAAGTAAAGATCCATATATAAATATATATTAGTTTAATATATATATATATATTAGTTACGTATATATTTAATATAATATATATTAGTTTAATATAATATATATATATATATATATATATA